ATTTTGCAACTGCTAGCAAACTTTAAATACTGAACTGATTATATGATACTGGACTATGTTATTTGGATTATCCCTTAACTGAAAGACGTTGATGACTGACTGCCTTAACCGTGTATGACTTGGACTGTTTGATGGACTCTGATACCTCTATTTCCACGAAAGTAAAAGCCTATTTAAACTGCAGTGTCTCTGTATGCTGGTTTGTGTGTTCTCCAACACAACTCTCACAACGCTTACCTAACAATTATCCTAAATCATCTTTATTTCTCTTTTATTAACTGGGCATCCCCCCCCCCCTCACCTTCCTCCCCTCTTTCTGCAGGGCCAGGCTGGCCTCTCTCTTTGGTATGGACCAGACGGCCTCGGGTACTGGGAACGAATTCTTCCAGTATACAGCACCCAAACAGCCTAAGAAAAACCTACCAGCCGCAGGTACGTCATTGCTGGCAAAAATAAAACAAAAATGCTTAGTAGAAATCACATACAGCTTTTTTTCCAGCAGGGGGAATGAAATGCCCCACCCCCTGCCCCGATGGATCCGGCTGGGATAAAAGACCTGAAAATCCTCACCTGGGGAACTTTGTGGGGTGCTGGCCCCCTAAATCCCTGATGGTGAACTTGTGGCACGGGTTCCAGAGGTGGCATGCAGCGCCCCCTCTGTGGGGATGCGCACTGTCACCAGACGCTCTTCTAATTTCCAGCGTGCACGAAACACGCATGCCAGCCAGCGGTGCGCCAGAAAACGGCCTGAAAACATCCCCGAAAAACAGTCTGAAAACGCCCCCCAAAAATGGCCTGAAAATGGCGCAAAAAAACCAGACCGGAAAATTGCAAACAGGCTTCTCCAGTGCGTGCATATCTACACGCATATAGGTAGCCCTTGGATGTACGGCCACAAGGGGCGCCAAAATTTCAGGTGCTAAGCGAGACGGGGAGCCTTCCTTACTGCATCCATACTGCGTCAGAGCTCGGTTTTCCAGATGTTTTGACTCGCACCTCTCTCTGTAACCTGTATAACAAAAGTTTTTTTCCTTGTGTGCCACTTCAGGTGTGGGCCCCCCAACGCAGAAGCCTCCTGCACCTGCGGGAGCGCCCTCCGTCTTTGTCGCCACGGCCGTTCACGCCTATCGGTTGTAAGTACCGCATTTACCCTATTTACTCCTTGCTCGTAAGGGAAAGAGGGGCGTGGTGGCTCAGTCACTAAGACGCTGAGCTTGTCGATCAGACAGGTCGGCGGTTCGAATCCTGAGCGCCGCGTAACAGGGTGAGTTCCCGTGACTTGTTCCAGCTTCTGCCAACTTAGCAGTCCGAAAGCACGTTGAAAAAGGCAAGTAGAAGAATAGGGACCACTTTTGGTGGGAAGGGAGCAGCGTTCTGTGTGCCTTCGGTGTTGAGTCATGCCGGCCACATGACCACGGAGACGTCTTCGGACAGCGCTGGCTCTTCGGCTTTGAAACGGAGATGAGCAGCGCCCCCTAGAGTCGGGAACGACTAGCACATATGTTCGAGGGGAACCTTTACCTTATAATGTGTCTCGGATGTTAACTGTTCATACATGTACGACCACCATTGGGCCCCAAATGTTTGTCGCTAAGCGAGACATTGGTTAAGAGTGAGTTCCGGCCCCTGTGGCAAACTCTCTTGC